AGATGGTCGGTTACACACTAGGCTAGCTGACGGCTCATTGCTTTTCCCCTTTTTACTGTAGATGGATTAAGTCAGGATGGACTCCTCCGTACTCCTCTTGCAATCGACCTTGCTAGTCTTGCGAATTAGGCCTTTTACTTTCTCCAACTCACGAAGAATGTCCTGATTGTTAGGCTCAACCCTAGCTGCCTTGCCAAGATCCTCAACAACCTCTTTTAGTTGGTACAGTCTAGTTTCAGCTAAGGCTCTTCTATAAAAAGTTTTGACATTGCTACTATCAAGTATAATGACTAAGGAATTTGTAATTACTCCGTATATAAGAAATTTTCCTACAAAATATTTTATTTTGGTGCTTTTTTCCCCCTCACATAAGAGCATCCACATTGGTGGGAAAATAGGCTCCTCATTTGCCAAAAAATGGAAATGGGGACCTACTCACCAATGTTACTCCTTTCCCATTTGATAAATATTTTTGGAAGGTTAATTTGATGGGAAGCCTCCCAAAAATTCAGGTGTGCCCAATTTGCACACTTGGTGGGGTTTGGAAAGTAGGAGAGAGAAAAGGTGGTGAAGTATGGAAAAATAGGAGAGAGAAAGTAAATGGGGAGGTTAATGAATGTAGATATGAAATTGTAAAATGGGAAGGGTATGTGATAAAGTTAATGTAAAGTGATGTGGACTAATGAGGTGAGGAGAGAGAAATTATGAAGAGCCCCATGAATGTTGATGCTTTAAAAGCCCGCAATATAAGGTTTTGATAGGAACAATTTTGCATAGATAGAGTATTAGAGACTTAGAGGCAGTTATACATGTTATAATTGATGTAAGGTTGTTAGAATGACGACTATTATTTTATGCAGTTCATTAGATGTGCTCCGTGATGCTTTCCTAATAGCTTATGATAGTATTGTAAATGGTCTTTTTAACTCTATGTTTCACCAGTTCTTGCTATAAGTCATGTAGCGCAGCTGGGAGAAAACAAAACATAAAATATTTGGTATCCAATCAGACCATTTAATCTTATGTTTTCGTCTATTTCATAAATCAATTTTACATATTTTGCTTAAAATTTTATAATTTTCAAATGACTTTTAGTTACGAAGGATGAAAATTATAATCTCACTATACAATCCTATAATTTTCAAGTTGTTCATGTTATCATTTATGTAGTGTTCTGCACTCCATATGTTCCTAATAACCAAACATAATTGTCTAATGACTCGGTAGTGGTAGTTCGTTTGTTGGTTGAAGAGTGCCCTTTGACCTCCCCTTATATTCATAATCAACTTGTTGACTGGTTAAATAACTATGGTGTCAATAGCTCAATGCTAAGTAGAGGATGGTCATTTTTAAAGCGGTCTCAAACAATCTTCGAGTCGTTTTATTGGAGAATTTAAATGGAGTGGGTAGGGTGCGTTTTGTTCCTTCGAATAGGACTTAGTGTTATTTTTGTTTGTTTCTTTGCTTTTATTTTTGCTCTGTTTTGTTTGTTTCTTTGCTTTTATTTTTGCTTGCTTTGCTTCGTTTAGGGTTCGTTTGACATTGATGTGGTTTTCAATTTTTTGGTTTTTTGTTTTTCAAAACCATATGATATACTACCTCCGTTTATTTTAGTTGACATGTTTTGATTTTAGCACTATTCACACACTCCACTTTGACCGTGTTTTGTGGTTTATACATAATGAAAAATATGGTCATTTGGGATCTTGTTAGATTCGTCACGATATATATTTTCAAAATATCAAATTTTCATAATTTTTTCTTATCTGTAATTAAAGATATGAATGGTTGAACTTGTGCGTTGGCAAACGTGACTAAAGAAACGTGCCAACTAAAAAGATTCGGAGGAAGTATGTCATATAATGAATCAAAAATTAGTTAAACTTATAAAAATTATAATAACTTTGAAAACTGACAACAGAAAAGTGGAAACACCTTTTTCTTGTTTCCTATTTTGGGTTTTTTTGTTATAAAAAAAAACTAAAAACTGAAAAACAAAAAACAATGTTGTTTTCTGTTTTTTTTAAACAAAAAACCAAAACAAGAAACAAGAAAAAGGTGTTTCCACTTTTTTGTTGTCAGTTTTCACAATTATCATGATTTTAATAGGTTTGACTAATTTTTTATTCATTATATGACATATATCATACGGCTATGAAAAACAAAAAACTGAAAAACTGAAAAACAAAAAACAATGTTGTTTTCTGTTTTTTTTAAACAAAAAACCAAAACAAGAAACAAGAAAAAGGTGTTTCCACTTTTTTGTTTGTTTTTGTCTTGGGGTTGCCCCACTTGTTCGACAAATTTTTCCCTACCTTCTAGTCTAGGAAGCTTCCCCTACACCCCCCATGTAACTACGTCGTTTTATTCCCTGCCAATTTTGTTTATTTTTTTTTATCCTTTTTTTTTTCTTCTTTACTTTCCATTCAAGCAAGTATATAAGGTTTTTTCTAGACCTAATTTCCTTCTTTTTCTCTCTCCTCATTTTCACCAATTTTAATTTCTCTCTCCTCTTTTCACCGATTTCACTTTCGCTCTCCTACATTTTTTGATTTTCTTTTTTTCAATTTTTATCTTTCTTCTTCCATGGAGATTTCTAGCTCAATTGCATTTGATCATGACTGTGACTCTATTTTTCCTCCTGAAGTTGGTTTACTCGACTCGTTTAAGAATCAATGTGAGTAATTTGTCACTCAATCAATCGATTTTGATTATGCTCTGTTTTTCGCTTGTAATTGTACGTTATAATTTTTGATTTCATAGTTTTTGTTGTATTGATTTTACTTTTTATAATGCTCTGTTTTGCTAATTGTTATTGATGACATTTTTTGATTCATAGTTTTGGTTGCATTGTTGTTCTATGTCAATTGTTATTTGTCTTGTTGTTCTTATTTTATATTTTTTATTGTAATGTTAATATTTGATTGATGTTTTTTTCCAGTTTTGTGCATTTTATCTGAATATCTATAGCTTAAAATTTTTTGCTATTCAACTATTTTCACCATTTTTTTACGTCATATAAAATTAATCTTATTTAAAATAATGCTCACTTATGTCATATTAAATGTTCATTTACGTTTTATATATTTATTCTGTAGTAAGTTATATGTTTATTGTAGTTATTTTGTTTTGTTGTGTTGTTTATAAGGTTCATTTATGTAATCATATATGTTTATTTATATATATACTTGTGCTATGGATGTTTTACATGTGACTTTTAATGATTATTAGTGTTTTGTTGTTTCAAAACTGATGTCCATTTATGTAATGATAAATAATCATTAACATTTCACATGTGGTAATTTTTTTTTTTTTGGTAAGTAAGATAATTTTATTACCAAAAAAGCAAATTACAACTTACAAAAAAATGGGGTTGTAACCTCCAAACTACACAAGCCTTAAAAAGGCACTCAACCACCAAAAAACAACCCCTAATCCTAGATGAGACCACCTTCTAGGAAGGGTGCCTCAAAAGGAAAAGGGAACAATCTGAACTCAGGTAATGTGGCACCTTCTAGGAAGAGTACACATCACAAGGAGCAGGACTGAACACCAACAAACAGACCAAAACAACCACCCAAACTAGGGAAACTGGCCTATACAGGAACAATGAGATACAGATGATGTATCCACTTACATAAAGCTCTATTCCATTTACAATTCACTAATTGTTTAATCCTATCTATAATCTCTATACAAACAGCCATGCACAAGAGTCTTGGATGCAAAACAGCCTTGTTCCAGTAAGCTTGATTCCTAGCTAGCCATAAGTGATAGACCATAGTAGATAGAACAGCAAGACCAATTTTCTGAGCTTGAACAGGTTTGAGTTTCCTCTTCCAGTGTTTCCACGAAGCATCAATATCATAATGGATTTCTTTGACATTTAACCATTTGCAGATCAGGTCCAGACAATGCTTACTGCAAGTGCACTTGAAAAATAGGTGCTCTTTCGTTTCCATTTCCAGGCCACACAGAAGGCAGGAGCTGTCAGGACATACCCCATAATTAAGCAGCTTATCCCTAGTTCTAAGCCTGCCCTGGATAGCAAGCTAGGTAATAAACGAGTGTTTTGGGACATTGAATCTGTTCCAGACCCAGGTATCCCAATTCACAGCCTCCAAATCACGCTGTATCCATTTATAAGCCACACCAAGCTGATATTTACTGTTCATCCAGCCATTGTTCAGAAAGCCATTCTTTAATTCCTCCTTCACAGCACACACACGTTTCCAAGCCCAACCATCACATCTTTTAGGAGTATAGGTCCACCAATCAGCATGCTTAATATACACATAGTGCACCCATTTAACCCATAGGGAATCTTCCTTTTTAGCTATTTTCCAAACATACTTGCCCAAAGCAACTTTGTTCCAGCTGCTACAGTCCCTCACCCCCAATCCTCCATTTTTTGTAGGCTTACAAACCCAATCCCATGAGATAGGAGGAACCTTAGACAAAACAACATTCCCACACCATAAGAAAGCCCTGTAGAGTTGGGAAATTCTGTGCATAATAGCTTTAGGGAGCAAGACCACCTGAGCCCAATAAGTGTGCAAACTCATTAACACATCATTCACAAGAACCACCCTAGCTGCATAAGACAGATTCCTGCTAGACCAGCAGGTGATCTTAGCTAACATCTTATTTATAAGGCTGCCAAAATCTGTGACCCTCAAATACTTAGCATTAAGAGGGATGCCAAGATATCTGAAAGGGGTTTGGCCTTTAGAGAACTGAGTATCTTCCATGATTGACTGCTGTAACTCAGTATTCATGCTACCAAAGTAAATAACAGTCTTGTCAACATTAGCACTCAAACCAGAACATTGCTTAAAGACCTTTAGAACCCTAGCCATTAGCAGCACAGAAGATATATCCCCATGACAAAAAAGCATTAAATCATCCGAAAAAATCAAATGATTAAGACTCAAACTCTTGCATCTCTGATGGTACTTGAACTGTGTTAACCTCCCTGTTTTAATTAGGAGCCTAGACAACTATTCCATAACCAACACAAAAATCAATGGAGATAGAGGGTCTCCCTGTCTAACTCCCTGCTTCCCTTTAAAGAAACCAAACATGCCTCCATCAATCATAATGGAAAAGGAGGGAGAAGATACACACAACATAATCCAAGAAATGAACATAGGAGGGAAATTTAAAGCACTTAACATATCCTTAATAAAACTCCAGTGGACAGAATCATAGGCCTTTCTCAAGTCAACTTTTATTATGCATCTAGAAGCCATTCTCTTATTGTTATAGCTTTTTAACATATCTTGACAGATCAAGATGTTATCCAGAATAGACCCACCCTTAACAAAAGCCCCTTGCATCTCAAAAACAAGAAAAGGCAAAACCTCCTTCAATCTTTCACAAAGCATTTTAGAAATGACTTTGTAAACAACATTACAACAAGCAATAGGACGAAATTGACTCACCTCCTCAACACAGTCAACTTTTGGAACCAGGATAAGAACAGTGTTGTTTATTTATTTTAGCAGTTTACCAGAGGCAAAGAAATCAAGAGCAGCCTTTGTAAAATCAGAACCCACCACCTCCCAAGAAGCCTTGAAAAATTTGCTAGAAAAACCATCCGGACCCGGGGCCTTATCATCATCAATTTTCCAGAGAGCATCTTTCACATCCTTCTCATTAAATGGCCTACACAACTTATCCTGCATCTCCGAGTTCAAAACAGCACCCTCACTAATTACACTAGGATGAATATGCTTTTTAGGCTTAGAGTTTGACCCAAGAAAATTCTGATAATACTCAACAAAAGCAGAAGCTATCTGATCAGGGTCCCTAAGCCAAACCCCATGTGAATCTTTGATAATGTGTATACTGTTCTGCAATCTTCTCTTTTTAATACAAGCATGAAAGAACTCAGAGTTTACATCTCCCTCCTTCAACTAGTGTAACTTTGCTTTGTGCTTCAGAAACTTCATTTTTTTCGAATGAGCATCAGCATATAGTCTCCTAGTTTCAATTTCTTTCTCAATCAAAACAGCATTACCTGGATCAGACACAAGCTCCATCTGACACTTATACAAATCAGCAGCCAACTGGGAATCCTTACTTAAAATATCAGAAAAATTCAGCAAATTCATTTGCTTTAAGGCATTTTTCACTACATTAAGCTTTTTGATTACTGTGAACATAGCAGTGCCCTGCACAGGGGTACTCCAAGCCTCTCTCACAGCATCTAAGAATCCAGGACAATCCACTTAGGCATTGAAAAATTTAAAAGGCTTTTTACCATTGTCCTTATGATCAAACAGGAAGATGATACAAGGGAAATGGTCCATGAGACCTTCAGGCATAAACGTAGCTCTTGCCTCACAGAACTTATCAACCCAATTAGCATTCACAAGAACTCTATCTATCCTAGTACAGACTCTACTCCCTGCATCCTGTTTGTTATTCCAAGTATAAAAAGGCCCACCTGTATTCCAGTCCATCAACAAACTGTCTTGAATACACTCTCTAAACTGTTCTACTTCTTTCAAATCAACAGTAGAACCCACCCTATCCCCAAGGTTCAAAACATTATTAAAGTCTCCACAAACAAACCATGGGTCTTGAGTGTTCTTAATGATATCCACAATATCCTTCCACAACGCAACTCTCTCTTCACTCAAATTTCCACCATAAACAAAAGAACCACAAAAATTGAACCCGGTACTTCTATGCACAATTTTACAGTGAATTAGCTTAGAAGAAACTCGCAGAATATTCACCTGAAAAACAGAAGGGGTCCAAATAACCCAAATCCTACCTTTCCTACTATAAGCATAATTTGCCACAGCAGACCATTCATCACCCAACCTACTAAATACCTCACCAAATTTAGCACTTTTAACTTTTGTTTCAAGAAGTCCAAACAAGCCAAGTTTATGTTGTCTAAGGAACCATAGCACATCACTGGTTTTGTTAGGCATGTTCAGACCTCTCACATTCCAGAAACCACACTTATCCATGAATGGTATAAGTGCAAGCACCCCCTTGACCTGTGTTGTACAAAGTAGCCTCCTGCACCATCCTTGGCCCCTCACTGACTCTTACATTCTACATAACCACCTGATCATCATTCTCCTCTAAATCATCTGAGTTTTGATTTTTGCGTTCATGTTGCATAACATTTTGAACTGCTAGCCTCCTAACAGGCCTCCATTCTCTCACAACCCTCCTAGCAGGAGCATATGCTCCATTTCTCTACCTCTGATGTTGCTATTGTCTATGATTTGGACATCTTGGCCCCTCATGTGGTAATTGTACTGTATTTATCAAATGCATTATTGTAATTGAACATTATTGCTATTGTATGTGTTTATTTGTTACATTTCTTATTATTGCAGTGGAAAAAAGGATGTTGTTATTTTTGAACAAGTAACTAGTTCTGATTTTTTGGGGAAACAATTTCCTTTTGAAGATGTGGCTTATGAAATGTTTAATGAATATTCTTTTACGAAAGGTTTTGGAATTAGAATTGGGAAGAGTAAAAGGCAAATAGATGATTCATTTTCTATGAAAAGATTTGTTTGCACTAATGAGGGTTTTAAAGATGATAAGTGTAGGAATAATAGGTCCTATGAGAGACTTGACACGAGGACTGGTTACTTAGCTTTTGTGCAGTTTGCTATTGATCATTCAGGTGTATAAACATGTACAAGACATGAGATGGTCCATAATCATGAATCGATTCCTGTTGACAAGAGACATTTAATAAGGTCTCAAAGGAATATTTCTAAGGAACATATTAAATTCATTTCCACACTTAGATTGAGTGGAGTTAAAGTTTCTAATTCTGTGAGAGCTTTGAAGAAGGAGGTTGGAGGGTCTCCTAACCTTTGTTTTACAGCTCCGGATGCTTATAATGCTATTTCGGCTTACAAGAGAGCTAAACTTGAGCGAGGGGACAACAATCAACTAATCAATTTTTTTTCAAAGAGACAAATTGATGAAGCATATTCTATTACGACTTTGAACAAGATGAAAATGGTGCATTGGTTAGTTTTTTTTTTGAGAGATGGAAGGATGATGAGAGATTATCATTACTTTGGTGATTTGTTAGTCTTTGATACTATGTATAGGACCAACAACTATGGTATGATTTGTGCTCCATTTGTTGGTATGAATCATCATGCAAATAACTTGATGTTTGGCATGGGATTTGTACTTAATGAAAGAACGAAATCATTTGAGTGGTTATTTGATACCTTTCTAACTTCTATGATGGGAAGAAAATGTCCTATTACAATAATGACTTATCAAGCTCAAGCCATTGCAGTTGGTATAAGAAATGTTTTCCTCCCAAGTTTTCATCATAGATTATGTGTGTGGCATATTGAACAAAATTCCAAGAAACACATTGGGGCATTGAGAGCTTTGGATGGTTTCACTGATTTTAATTATTTGGTTATTTGCTGAAGTACCGTGAAACTCCAGAATTTGAGTATTATTGGAAAAGGTATTTCTATTATTCTTGAGTTTTTATACTTCTTACTTTGGATTATATTATTTTATGAATTTGAACATTTACTATTGTATATATGTTCAAAAAGTATTACGTTTGCTTGTTATTAGTTAAAAAAAGTTCTTTGTATCATATATTTTCCTAAATGTGAATATTCATTTTCTTGAATCCGTACATTAATCCTTGTATAGGTAGTATAATGTTTTATGCTTATTTTAATTGTTAAATACTTGTTTATAGAATTAAATTTAATATGAACATTTAATGTTTTTTTACATGTTTATTGTTAATGATCATTATTGCTATTCTTAATGTTCAAGTATGGTATACAGAATGGTGATGAAATACGATTGTGCAAAGGTTGATTAGCCGTGTGATTTGTATAAAATCAAAGAGATGTGGTGTCCATAAGCAATATTGGTCTGGAGATGTGCTTTGATTTCATCTCAACGTAGTGAGACAACTAACAAATCAGTTTCTCAAAGGCTTAACAAGACACAAGGTCTATGTGATTTCTATCAAGTGTTCCTTGATGTTGTTCATGAGTGGATAAGCAAGGAAAAAGGGAAATATTATAATACTATCAGAGGTAATCATCATCTGGCTTTTGCATATATTGAGATTCTCGTTCATGCTAGATCATTATATACGATTCAAGCATATGTGGTTTTTGAAGAAGAGTTCATTAAGGAACTGCATGTGATAATAAGGAATCTGGTTTGAATTTTCCTGAATATTCATATCATTTGTGGAGACCTGGGAAAGATTTAATCAAGCATGAAGTTGTTTTTAATAAAGAAACACATGCAATATGTGTACATGCATGTTTTTTAGTGAGATAGGTTTGCTTTGTTCTCATGCTCTTCGGATTTATCACATGAATTGTGTTCATAAGATTCTAGATGAGTATATAGTTAAGAGGTGGACTAAGGCTGCCATGTGTAGTCATGGTCTTGATGAACCTATATTGAAGTCCAATGTTGTATCTACAAGTGTTTGGAGGTCACAAACACCAAGGAAACTTGTCAAGTTGGTAACAAGTTGTCAACACTCTTTGAATGCTAGAGCAGAGGTTGAATGCTTTGTCAATCTTTTAAAAGAAAAGATTGAGAGTGTTACAGGTGCCATTGATTTTAATGAGCCTGTTAAAGGTATTGAAATTGTTGATCATGAAGTTAAAAATCCACCAAAATCAAGGCCTACTGGTGAGAGGAATTATAGGCCTAAGAGTAATTTAGAGAAGGCTTACAACAAAGCTAAGGGTTAGTGGATGAAGAAAAAGTCAGTATACACTCCTTATAAAAGGGCTAAAGGTCAAACAGTTGTTTAGGTAATAATGAACATTTATGTTATTTTGGTTGATCTTTATTGCCAAATAATTGAACATTTTTGTTTTACCTTAGGACTTGGATGAGAATGGGTGTCCTATCTCTTATGCTAATTCTCTTACCAATCCCAATGAATTGATTGTGATTAAAAATCCAACTAGTCAGGTAAATGTGAATTTATTTTCTTTTTTATTTATTTCTCTGTTTTTTAAATTTCAGAAATATTTAAAAGATTTTTCTATTTTTTATTGAAGGCTGGTAATAATAAATCAGCTGTTGTAGAAGATATTCCTTCTTCTTCTTCTAAAGAATATGATGATAGTGTTTCAAATGACTTTGAACAGGAATTATGTAAATGATTATATATTTATTTTCAGTTGTACATTTATGTTTAAATTATTTAACATTGGTTTTTTCTTATTTTATTAAAGGAATATAGAGAAATCTCTCTGCAATCAAACATTTCTGTTGATCTATATATATATCCTCTATTGTGAAGGTGAAATATTATTCATCTACATTCTTATTTTCAAATTAGTTTATTAAGTGTCTTAAATCTAATCATTTTGGTATCAAGGTAAAAATTTTGATGTTGGTCAAGGTGTTACGATTGCTCAAGTTGCTTCTACAGTTCCTAAAATGCTCAAGTTTCTGCTACAGTTCCAACAAATACTCAATTTCCTCCGAAGAAATCCAAAAATGTACATTTTCCCACAGTTGTTCAAGTAGCTCCTACTGTTCAAAACAGTGCTCAAGCTCCTCCTAAAATTCCTAGAAATTTTCAAAATGCTTCAAATATTCCAAGAAAGGTTCAAGTTGCTCCTACTGTTTCAAGGAATGTTCAAGATTCTCCTAGTGTTCCAAGAAGTATTCAAGGTGGTTCTGGACAGATTTCGGATAGATTTCTACCAAGTATGATATTGTTAGCTTTTTTTGATACACGTAGCTAAAAAATTGGCTAATAATGGTAAATAAGAGAGTACATCAATATACAATTACTTTTAAATTTACAACTATCAAAATATTCAATTGTCTCAATTGTTAAAGAGATGTTCAAGTTGCTCCAAGTGTTTTCATATACAATGTTGAATGTTATATTTTTAGCATATTAAAGAACTATGAATGTGTTTCTATTGCCTTAAAAAAATGAATGTGTTTCTATTAAATAATATTCTTTTTCAACTTAATTGTGTAACTGGACAATTTTATATTTGAAAATGAACAAAAACGAAAAAAGAAATTATAAATACAAAATACGAAATTGTCATATATTTTTAGTATCACCCAATTTCATATTAATTATATTTATCAAATATTGTTTTAGTTACAATATTTAAAAAAAAAAGCAAGAATTACTAAATTGAAATTTTAGTTACAAATAAAATCTATAAGTTCTATTATCAGATTTGAACATATATATGTTTATAAATGAACATATAGTATCATGGTTTGCAAATTTCCTTGCTCCTCTTCTATTGATCCTAGATTCGGTGTTCTCTTCAAATAGCATTAGTTGAGCTGTGTACTGCATTCTCAGCTTCCTGATTTGGTCAATCTGTTGATGAAAGTAAATTATTATTTAGTATTATATAGATGAACAATATGTGTTGAGTAGTCGAATATTCAGCCAACTTACATTATTTGGTTTCAAGTCACAAATCCATTCTTCACTTGGATCAGCAGTAAAAGTTTCCATATGCTTCATTATGTATACTCCACAGTTAGTGTGCTCAGCATTACTACGCCACTTCATCTTTTCTAAAACAACTTCATAGCTTTCAATTGAATCTCCATCTTCATAGCCCATGTGTTTTATGTATGCTCCTAGAGCGTTTAACTGAAATAAAGAGAATGAATTAAGAATGTTAGAAAATTATATTAATAATTATTCTCTGAATTTAAGAATATTATAGTAATAAGTTTACTTATTATCATTTGTGGTTGGTCAGAATACTTCGTTGGGACAGTTACATGTTGTGGCAGTTTTCTATTGTTAATAATATGAATTTAGTTTTCCATATGATTGATGCACAAGAGATAAAAATGTTAAGAAGTTGCTACTGGGAATAATGAAATGTTATTGAGCATTTACCTAAGCATAATTGAACAATTTTAATTGAAATATTTAGCAATACCTGTTTGTATCCAACAATGTTATCAATCTTATACAGCTTCA